ATGTAGAAATACATGTGCATTATATGTCATATATACAGTAATATATACCTATATATGTGCTTGTGTGTAGATTTATACATGTGTATACTGTCAGCAATGAAGGGAAATATTTAAACCCTGAAGGATGAGTAGATCTTGAAAGTGACATAAGCATCTCGAATCATGTATTGGTGAATCATAGCTGTATCGGGCAGTGCTGGATGTTCCTGCTCTCGCAGGGACTGTCCCAGTGTTCCAGGAATGAAAGGTGAATTCAAGGACTGGTCCCATAAAAAAAATAGTACTTTCACTTTGGTAGCAATAAAGTAGCAAGAGCTTCTAAAATGTGCTGTTATGCTTTTGACATGTAGCAGCTCAAACAAACGGCTCATCAGATGGCAATGTCAGTGGGAGCTTTTTATTTCCCCTGGGCACTGAGCTGCTACAAAATACAATCTTCACACAACCAGTTTTGATTAAGTAACGCTGTGTCCATGTATTTGTGAAATTAAAGGCTGTGGCAAGTGTTGACTACTGTTGCTCTTCATAAAAGTGAGGTGGTTTTTTTTTTTTTTTTTTTTTGCAGCAGTTAGGCCTTACTGCAGTTAGTTTGGGCAAGTCAAAATTAAAAGAGAAGAGAATTAGGTTTCTAGAAATTACTTCTGCTGTAGTGCAGTGGAGTGTGTCATGTATTGCGGCTGGAAATAGTGTTCTCAAGGTTCCTGTTCCTGGAGTCAGGGCAATCTCATGTTCATTAAAGGAAAAAGGGAGACATTTTCAGCTTTTGTCGTTGCAGAGAAAAATCTAAAAATTGTGAACATGAAGGGTAAAACCTAGCAAGGCAAAGAGAAAGACTCCCCATGCATTGTAATTTTTAGGGGGGTCGCGTGGTCTGTACGGGGGAGTTCTGACCCCCAGTAGCCGGGCAGCCATTCTGCCGCAGCGGGGCAGAGCCCAGTGCTGGCTGGGGAAGGCGGCCAGTCCTACCCTTCCCAGCTGAGCCACCTCTGTAAATAAAATGTAATAGTTTGGCAGAGGTTCTGGCATGACATTTCTTTTTCTGAAAATCCAGCTTGGGTGCCTACATTAATACAGGGGGGCCTGTTGTTTGCACAGACTTACCCTGCTGCTGATGGCTTAATAAGCTCCTTTATTTTGTGTTTTTATTCAGTAAGCTTGTCAGCTTTTGTGTAGGGGCTGACCTCTGCTTGCGCCCTCCCCAACCGGCCCAGCCCCTCTGAAAGGGGCACCTCTGTCCCCGTAATTTGTAGTAAAAGGGAATTGTAAAGGGAGGTGAAATGTCCGGCTGTAGGGACACGGGCTGCTACAAAGCAATGTAACTTTGGCAGGGGCTGACCCCGTGTGCCCCGCGTGCCTCAGAAGTGTTGAAGTCGATGGGAGTTTTGGGTGCGTAACGACGAACGCAGGACCGAGCCTTTATGACTGAGAAAATCCAGACAGTGAGGGAAGGATTCGGTAGACAGGGCTACTCGAAATGAATTACGGCAAACGATGTGAGAACAGGTCAACATTTCATATCTGGCATACGTTTTTCTAAACAGACAGAAAGGCATCCCAGTATTGTGACTGTTTGCTATTAGATTCCACACAAAAATCTATTGGGGTGGCATTTAAATGCAGTGACTGGAGATAGCAAAAAGATGTGGGATTGTATTTCTTTCCATTCATTTAATTGGAACCATGCTGTAAAGGCGTACGAAAACCATCACTCTGAAATATATCTAAAGTATAGCTTTGCAACGCTGAGAAGGATGTCCAACCTAATAGAATTTCAGATAGAGGAGATATTTTGGCTCATCTTTTGCTTCCAGCTATATTCAGTTTCCCCGTGTGGTTATATTTCTTGTTATTGTATGCATCCAGCTATCTGTTTCTTACTTCACCGTCTGGGAATACAAACCATTTTGTCTCATTTCAGACCTTAAAATGGATTGGACAAAAACAAAAAGGAAGAAAAAAATGAAGTATTTTGGGTAGCACCTCTGTACTTGTTTCTGTGTCTTAGTAAGTCAGCTTCTTAAATGAAAGGCCTAAGAATTACTGTCTTGGAATATTTAGCATCTATACGTATTCTGTATTTTGTCACATCTGTATGCTGGGTGGTGGTTCATCAGGAGGGGATGACTGTAACCATTTTAGATGCTTAACTGGCTGTTGGGACATGCCCAGTTTGTAATCATGGTAATTGCACATACAAATACAGCCGTGTAATTACATGTGCATTTTTGCATTTAGTTTCAGGAGTTCGTTTAGAACAGTATAAACGTGGCCCAGTAAATCCTTTCTATCTCAGACTTCTGTGCTTTTAGAAGTCTGTATAATTGCATAATAACACTGCATCTGCAGAGGTTTCACTCAGGTTACATTATATATTCTTGAAGTTAGACCCATACTAACTTGCTCAATACTGGGTTTTTCAGCTTGTAAGACTGATCAAGTTCAGCAGTACTTGTGCGAGAACTTTCTTGTGAGAATAAAGAGCAATTTAATATGAAACCAAAACTGGATCAGGACATTTAAGCTTCCACAATGACTGAGGTGATTAAATGGGCATTAATATAGTAAAACATACACCAAATACTTGGATACTCGGGCAGTGAAGATTTTTGCCAAGGTACAAACTGAAGACTAAAATGAAAGAATAGCTTAAAAGCAAAGTTCCAGCTCTCTGAGAACAAATCTAAATCTCTATTATAAATACTGGCATTTGTGAATTGAGGTAAAATAGATACAAACAGATAGTGTAATTAATTTCTACTTACGTGTTCATATGCACACAAATAGGTAATAAGACTAATTTCTCACTATTTTACGTGTACAGATATGTATGTATTACACAACAGTGATGTTTTTATGATCAAATTAATGTTTGTCTTCCATATTTCTATTACTGGAATGGTTTTTGCAGATGTGAAGAATTTCTAATGAAAACTGGTATCTTTTTTTGTATTCAGTGTTATTGTGACTCAACAGTTACTGCGATGCTGGCATTTCCCAGTCTGTGTTGCTTGCTCATTTCCCTGACGGCTTTTTTTCCCCAGTGGATAGTATTACTGGGCTGAAGACAAGCACTGAACTCGGCAGATGATACAGAAGCAGATGTTAGATTTTGGCACTGACCAGTGAGGGTTTTCAAACCTACCAAGCCTCATCCTGCCTTCTTAGTCTGCCCCCACACAAGAGAGGCCTGAAATGCCTAGTAAGAAATGCAGAATCCAGCTCGTCCCTAGGAAAAGACCTTTATTGTATCAAATATTTCAATTTAATGTCATTTTTTGTTAATTCAGAAGACTTAAACAGAATTGTGCTGATGTGATCCTCTAAGATAGTTTGCAGCATACGAAGGTCTAACTCCTGTCAAGAAGCTGCACTGAAATGGTGTCACAGATGATAAGAACAAACCCAAGTCCAGTCTGAATTGCTCTAGGTGAAGAAATGATTGCTGTTACGATCTTTGTCGTGGTTGTGGCAGTAAAGAGAAAAGTCTGTTTTCCCATTTCAGATGTTGATATCGGCATGTCTCTCAAATTCTCTGTTTGTGCATCGACGCCCAAGTCTTTTTTGACATGTTTTAAAATAAAATCTTCTAGCTCTATTTTTTGTTTAGGTTAATGTCTGTTTTTAAGCAGCTGTTTTGAAATACAGTGCCATTTTTACCCCCAAAAGAAAAATTGCTTACTTCTTTTACATTTTTTGGCACCCTTCTTTCCTTGAAATGTAGACAGCTATAGTCAGAGCTAGCAGAACAGTTCATAACAAATCCCCTATTTGCTGACTTTAGCCTGGTCTTTTCTTTCCTGCCTGGGAGGGTCAGAAGGCATAAGACTGTGCTCGATGCTCGAATCTACTTGCAGCGGTTGTGGGCAGCCTCAGCCCGCTCCCTCCAGCGATGGCACTCGCTGCTCTGGCTCTCTGCTTTCCCAGTGAATTAGGGTCGGTCCCCATGCTGCTCTGCATGAGCCTGGCTTCTTCTCCAGGGCCATATCCGAGTTCCCTCAGCTCAGAAGAGACCCTCATTGACTTCCCTGATCTTTTTAAAACTAAGAGGTTTGAAAAGTCAAATTACTCAAGGCAAGGCAGTAAAGGAATAGCAGCAGGACGGTTTTTTTAAGCTGTGTTTTCACACAGACCTTTTTACTGTATGGTTTATTTGACTGGGGCAGAGATTATGTTTAATTTTATTTCATGTGCATGCTGTTCTGGCTGGAAAGTTGCAATCAGATGCTTATCAGGCCCATTTAACTGCCTCTCTGCCAGGGCTTGGCAGGGAGTTTGTAAAAGCCTATCCCCCAGCACTGTCAGACGTTGTCCCGCTCCATATAAAGCAAGACATCTCTTCTCCATAGTCTTTAAATATTCTTCTTGTACAATTATTTGTGCAAGTGAAAATTAATCATTCGATTGTCCTTGGAAAATAAATACAAGAAGGAGCTGGAGCATGGCCTAAATTGCTATTTAAATGCTTTTAAATTGAAGAAGGAACTGCCAGATAACATTTTGGAGTATTTGCTCTTCTTTAATGATACTGCACACAAAAATCCATCAAGTATAGCGAGAGACAATTTCTGGCTGGGAAAAGATAAGTTTTGGCATTTCAATTGCTTTTCAAGCTACCCTGTCATTGAAATACACATTGCCAGTCAGTGCACAAACAGTAGTCCTATGGGAAATGTCACTAAAAGCTATTTTGTGATGTTTTTTAAGCAGAAAATCAGTCTTATTTAGCCAGGATTTGCATAGGCTAAACTAATTTTTCTCAGATAGAATTCTGTTTCTGCATCCATGGATGCATTAAATTATATATATATATTTTTTTTTTCTTAAACATTCGTTGAGGTAAGACCCTGTATGGAGGGGTATGCAGGGGGCACTTAACTGGCCTCATGCTGTATGGTGCCTACAAGAGATTCTGCTAGCTAATTTGAGAGCTTCATTTGAGAATTTCAAGAGAGCATCACTCAAATGCGAGCTGTTGAGGGGGGAACTTTAAGTTTTTCCAGCTCTATGGCTATTGTTACCAAGATAGCAATGACATCCCAGACACACTGACGACCATCACTGAACTAGGCTCACCTTTAGAGATGATTCAGCTTTTACAGACTTCCTGGGAAGACAGATTTCGAGTGAGTAACAACTGTTTTTTAAAAGGACTTTTAAGAGAGCGATGAATACAAAATAATATCAAGCGTGAAGCAGTGGTTATGTACTATACAGTGCAGTTCACATAGATTAAGTGTTTGCTTTGCATATGATTACATCTTTGTTTAGAAACATCATTTAGCACTCCCTTTCTGCAGCTTTTAAGATACTGTGCTATTTTGTCTGTTGGTGTTATGTAGTTGTAGCTATTCTATGCCTTTTACTTGGTATCTTCAGACATTTCTTACTTGTTAAAGCTCGAGGCCCAGAATTTTTGGCATTGAGCATTGTGCTCTGCAACTAGTATTTAAACAATAGAACGATGTTATATTTCTCTCCTGATCCTTATCACATGTTGGTTTTACAATTGTTTTCTACTGCTTCCTGCTCTGTTCATCTTTTACTGGGGGAACAGTGAAATAAATGTACACACATCTTAAAGCCGGGTTGTCCACCGCGTTGGCGATTTACCAGGAGCACGAAGGTCACACTTAATTTGTCCAAAATGAAGCCAGACTGCAGCAATGCTTTGATCAAGACAGCGCTGTCTCGCTCAGTGTATATTGGGATGTGTCATCGGCTGAGGTTAGCTCCCCAAGACGCTGCGAGGCAGCAGCAGTCTTCATCTAAAACACTTTGGATTGCATGGCCACATCTGTACCAGAAAATTAAAAGTGTGCCTGACTGATCTCGGGGACGGCCCAGCAAGGTTCGGCCCATGCCGGTACTGCTGCACTCTCATGCTCGCAGCAGGCTGGGTGGCTGCACGCAGGGCACCCGTCGGGAGCGGTCCCTGGGCCGTGCTGCCGTCGGGATCGTGCCTGGGGACTGCGCAGGAGGGCAGCCCTGGCCCCGCTCAGACCCTGGCCAGAGACCATGCTAGCAAGTGTGCGTGCGGGATTAGGTTTCCGTGCCCAGGAATGTTCCCTGGCAGAATTTATTTTACAAACATAGATGGAGCAAGTGTGTTCCCTGTGCTAAGCTTCAGCTCTCTTTTCCTGGAAGAAGTACAGTCTTAGTAAGTGGTAGAGGTACTCGTCATGGCTCCCGAAATACAGGACATGCCTTCAGCTCAGGGAAGTTTCCTTCTAGCGTGGATATTTCTGAGCGCACGATTGCAAAGGGAGATGAAGGAGAATTAGATGAAGGTGCTGAGCTGATTCACGGAGGTAGAATTACAGATGAAACATTCCTGTGACCACTGCTATGAAGTCTTAGGTAATGTCATTCTCATTAGTTTGTCTAGAATGCAACTAATCCAGAGAAGAAGGAGGAAATAAAACCGTATCTTCTTGATACATGAGACTTTTTTGTGATACAGTCCTGAAAATGGCTGCATAAATATTTGACCTTATTCCTACAATAAATTTCCTTGTGTTGAAGAACGTGGTGGTAAGCTTTGTCCCCAGATCATCACCTCTGTGCTCAGAGATGTGTGACACTGAGCAAAGCCCTCGTCTGTGTGCTTAAAGCTTGCTGTGCAGGGTCGTTTTCAGCCCAGCTTGGCAGCAGGAACACGGGGCAGCAGCCCATCGGGGCTCAGCCCGCTCACAGAGGCTGCCAGTGCAGGAGCTGGGGCTTTGTAACGGTTGAGGAAAGGCGGTAATTTCAGATGACAACCTGTGGTTTTATTCAAGCTAAATTCTGGGCTGATTGGCAGTTGAAGGTGTGTGTGTTACAGGTTAATTTGAGTTGGATGTGCCTTTTATATAGAGTGTATTGCAGGATGGCACATACGTGAATCGTGTGTCCTTCCAGAGGGGGAGGCAAGGGTGGTCAAGTCTGGCGTCCCATAACCAGGCCTGTGTTCATCTACACCTGCAGGCATCTCCATGTGAGCTGTGGTATCCTGTAAGCAGGATAAAACTGTCCTAGTCTGGTCAAGCAGGAGAAAGTCCTAATGTCCTACAGGTGAAGGAAGGGTCTCTGAGGGATCACTTCAGACATGCTCAGCTTTCTGGTGAAGGATGCATTTAGGTGCTCCCCTGAGTATACCGTTTGTGCCCTGAGATTGAATTTGGATTTGGCTACTTCGATGCACGTGGCCTTAACAGGGTATTTTAACAGAAAACAAAGATTATATATATAAACAATAAAAAGCTTGCTAGACTGAATAAGACCTGTTACTAATTTAACACATAGAATAAAAATTCCAGTATTTAACTGAATTCATATTAATGCTACGTCTGCATTAATACATTACATAGTGGACTCTAAAGGAATGCATGAGTTGAAAACAGTACTTTGGTAAGGGGACCGAGTCCAACGTTCGTCGAATTTGCTGTCTAGTAATAGTTACTCAGGTTTCTAACGTGCAATTGAAAAGTGCAGCATCAGCACAGAGCTCCCACCCCAGTCTCAAAGCGGCGCATGAGGGGCCCACCAAGGTAGACGGACATGTGTGCTTAACCTGAGGTACGGTGAAGAGTTACAGAGAAGATGTGGAGCTCCTCTTTCTGGGAATTTGCTTCCTTCTCCACTGGAAAAAGGCAAACGGAGAGGAACCAGTGGAAAAAAATTATAAAAGCAGTCAAAAGGCGGGATCAGTACGGAGGCAATACAGACACTGTCTGCAGTTGGAGCTCCAGGCATGGGCACAGGGCAGTCTGGCCAAAACTTCCAGACCTGGAGTCTGTAAAAAAGCAGAACCAGGCTGCATGGTCGAGGCCTGTGCGTAATGTGTTATTAAAAGTTAATGCTTTTATTTCTATTAAAACTAAGAACAGCAGCAATGAGCCCTGCTTCAAGAGTAGTGTGGGAAAGCACTGGTAAAGAAGCTTATTTTTGTTTCGGGTCTCGAAGGGTTTTACAATCAACCATGTTAATCCTATGAAAAATACCTTAGTTGCGACATTCAGTTTTGAGGAGAAGTTACGATGCTATGTTAAGTCATATATTTATGAATATATCTTCAGCTAAAGTAGTTTCACTTATATACTTTGTACTGAGCAAATAACGCAAGGTACCCACGTTTTTGCATTTCAGATATGTCTCAGCTTAGTTCGGCTTCTGCATTATTTGGCTCACTCTCCTCTTGGCTCTGTGACATTACTGGATTTTCGCCCTCGGCAGTTTGTGATCGTGGATGGGGAACTGAAGGTGACGGATCTGGATGATGCCAGCATCGAGGAGAACTCTTGCACCAGCAACAGCGACTGCTTTATGGAATTCCCAGCGAGGAACTTCACCCTGCCCTGTTCGGTTGAGGGACGATGTCAGAACATGAACGAAAAGAGGAATCTCTACAATGCCTACAGGTACGTGATTGCATAAGGTGAAAGAGAATTGAACGTGGGGAAAAAGTCTCCGGCATCCTGTATAGTTATTCACATCAATGAGTACGTGTTGTCTCGGAACTGTTACCCGAGTATGTGAAGCCATGAATAATTGTTTCGTTGGTGAAAATATGTAGCATATATAACTTTGTAAGTGTTTTGCATACTTTGTGTGTGATTCACCACTCAGTCTAATTTTGCGTTGGTTGAATCCCACTGAATTCTTCACACAAGCAGTGGTTTCCATAGGAGTGAAACAACAGAGTGGCCTGTGGAGGTGGGGGTCCGTTGGCTCTTGTGGTGAGACGGTTCTTCTTCAGTGTGAGCTGATAAGGGTCATCACGTGTCTTCCACCACTGGCTGACAAAAGGACTGGCTTCAGAGGCAGCCAGAGCTCAGCTCTCACCCTGCGCTCCGGCTCGATGCTCCCCGCCTCACTGGAGCCTGCTTCGGTAGGGTTATAACAGTCCCTCCTGCAGCCACAGAGAGCACCCTCAGTTGCTGATGGTCTGGGGCGTGATCCCAAACCCTTTGAAGTGAGGGCTTTTGCTCTCCTCCGCCCTGCCCACAGCCCCCATGTCTGCACGGGCAGGGGCTGGGGGACTGGCTCCCGGTGCTGCTCCCAGTCCGTGGCAATGCCATCCCTGTGACCAGCTGGCCACACGGAAGAAAGCGTTCAGCTGACGCGTCCATCTTTCAAATAAGATATTAAGAGTTTCTCTGGATTTACAGTGGAGTCCTCCTGGGTGATGGCTTTGTGTTTGTGGTCTTGGGTCTCCCCCGTCGGCCATCATTCCCCTTGGAGGCCTGGGCCGGGATGCTGAGGGAGATCTCGTGGCTTTCTGGGGAGCCGGTAGCCGATGCTCCCTGTTGTGCTCCTCCTGCCGCCATCGCTCCCGCTGATGGGCGCTGGTGGGGCAGGCAGCTGCCTTGTTTGATCCAGATAGGAGGACGGAGGATCTCAAAGCAATGCCATAATGGTGTGCTCATTTCTTAGACTTCCCTTTCAAGTCTCATGCCATTCACTGCCTGCCAGACCACAGCGAGGAGAGGCAGATCCGAAGAGAGTCTTCTGCTTTGGTCCCGGGGCGCTCACCAGCATGTGTGTTGCATTAGCTGACCACACTGAAATGGGCTGCACCACATGACAGCCATCTGCAGTTGTGCAGCGCAGTTTTTAGTGTGTCCTGCAGAATTTTCTGTTTCCATTTGCTTGGCTTAAAGATCCTGCTTAGCTTGCTAGCTTTTGGTTGAGACCGTTTTACTGGTCTGGCTAAGAAACCTTTAATAGGCACTCATCCATCTCGGTCGAAGTGGGGCTATGTCTGCGGTGTGGTGGGGCTTGCGGCAGGTTACTGGTCTCGCTGGAGGAAGCAGTCTTTACTATTACAGTTCTTAATATTGCCTGTGAACCAGGCACTAGTGTGTAGCACACGCACAGTGCCCCAGTGTTTTCAGCCTATGCTTTTGCTTAATTTGATGAAGATGGTGTTTTTTTGTTCAACAGCAGATGCATGCTACAGCAGGCTGCTACCACCCCTGCTAGGGTGTTAGCAACAAACCCTGTGCACTTGTCTTGGAAGGCTAAATCTTCAGTTCATTGGGTGTAGGCTACTAAATCTCATGTTTTCATGGATGCACTTTGTTGCTGTAGGGTTAGAGACAGCTCTCAGGAAAGGGTTGCTGGTGCTGTTAGGTAGAAGTCAAAAGCAGCAATGTGTCAAACAGTGCATAAGCCCCTTATAAGCTTAAAATATAGCAGGCCCTAACCTTGAAAGTGTTATTAGCCTATCCAGCTGGTTTCTTTATGAGGTAAATAATTAAAGGAGAGAAAACATTCTGGAAAAAACTCTACTATGCAAGAACTGGCCCGTCTTGACTTTAAGATGGTTACCTTCTGTCATAAATGTGTCACTATGGGTTTTCCTCCAGATGTTAGGAGGAACAATTTTCAAAGCACTGGGCAGTTTTAAGATAAGGATAATTAATATTTTGAACTATTAACCAATGACTGAGATGAATTCTCCATCACTGACGATTCTTAAATTAAGATCAGATATTTCTCAAAAAGAAAAAAGAAAGGAAAAAAAGCCTGTAGGAACAAACGTAAAAGGATCTGACAATCTGTGTTATGCAGATCACAAGGGATGCCACTGGCCCTGGAATCGATGAATAACAAATGTTCCTGCAATTAAGTTGTGCAGGCGCCAGTGTCGCTACACACCAGAATTTCACATGTGGGTGTTTGCATTAGAACAAGTTGTGTATTTTTATAGCCATGGAAAAACAATAACCTCTGTGACTTGCATCCATCCGGCGCTTAGCAAAATAAATGACAGCTACTGAATATTTGCAAAGAACTATTCAGTCAGTCGGACTCTGTTTATGGATAATCTCTAAGCAAAAAAAGTGAGGTAAAATTTACCAGACAGATTATTAATTACAAATGTTTTGCTGCTCTTTAGATTTCTGTATGTATTTGTACTGACTGTTTCATACTCATTGCTAAGAAAACCTACCTGGGTATATTCCCACTTGGGAAAATCATAAATACTATTTCTGTAAGGGATGAAAAAGGGAGTTATAATCTCAAGGAAATATTCATTGTCTAAGTGAAATATGTCAGCTCAATAGTACCTGTGTCTGTGACAGATTTTTGTTATCAGTAACTTAATTTTTAATTTGTGCTTATGTAAGACATCTGCTAGTCTCTGTCCTGAGCATGAGTCACTGTAGGGTTTTTTTTTGACAACGTGGTCTCTGTACATGAAAAAATGTTTGCTTTGCAGGTTAGATGTGAAGCAGGGCATTTTCCCTATTGTTTTTCTGTTCTGCTCATTATCTAATATTTATGTCTGAGAGTTCTGTTTATATTGTCAAATCCTGAACTGTCTATCCCCATCTTAGGTTGTTATGACACTGGGTTTGCAGTGAGCAATAATATTGGCAGAGTAATAGAAATTTAAAGGAACAATGTGAAAACTAAGTGATGTTAAAGGCATATTGTTTTTTTAATTTTGTAATTAAAAATATTCAAATGCGCAATATGTATCCATCAATGAATATCTACGTGAATGCATCTTGAATTTAGATAAATGAGGAGAACAGAGAAGACATTCTGAATTGCAGTGGCATTAAAACAATAGAAGGCAGCGTTGTCCTGTCAGTTCATTTGAAAGAATGATAATAGTAAGAAGAAAACTGTAGAAAAGAAAATAATAGTCAATTATTTGAAATGAGCAGAAATTTCATTTATGCACTTTCAAGGTTTGGAAAAAAAAAAAAAACAAACAACAAACCCAAGACTTCTGAGGTTGATGGCATCTTTTTAGGTTGTTAAAGTACATATAGATTTGCAAATAGTCACAGTCCACGGGGCTTTTCTGTATTAATGGGACATTTACACATAGTTACAGGGCAGCCTTGTGTGTAACAGCGTGGTCTAGGTACGCCAGACAGCTGTGTGAATAGTCTCAGCTATATATTTGTTTGACTATAGAACATGATTATATTTCTTGAATACGTCAGTGGCTTATGAGCTATAGGAATTTTATTCCTTATGTTTTTCAGTAGTTACGAGACATTTGTAAACACTTTTAAAAATTTTTCAATGTGGTTTACTTCTCCATTGCAGGTTTTTTTTTACATATCTTCTTCCACACAGTGCTCCATCCTCATTGAGACCATTACTGGATAAGATACTCAATGCAACAGGTAATTGCAATAAACATGGTGAAGCCAAGTATTTCCTTTCTTAATGTGACTATCATGTCTGGGATGGGAGGGATGCTGCTTTTATGTTCACTGCAATAGAATCAGATTGTTCTGCTATAGAGGATAAAATTTCCCCCATGCAGAGAAAGCAAGAATGGCCCCTTAGACCAGAGAAATCCTGTTTTGAGGTTTTATCTAGGCTTCACAGAGGTATTTGCTTCCTACTCATACCTCAGCACTGGGGTGAACCGCATCAGAATGCAATTCCTTGCGGGATCTGGAGGAACCCCTATTTCAGGCAAGGGGAATTTTAATGATAAAACCAGCATACTTCCCCATTGCCAGTGGTAGCAGTGGTCCTTTTATACCTCAGAAGCCAGGCAAGTGACATTACCATAGATCTTTACTAATTACCAAAGTGATGCCTTTGGGACAAGAGTAGTTGCTTGTGCCTGTAAATATGATTTGAGGGTTTTTGGTGCACTGTGCAAGGGGTTTTATACCTTGTGCTGTGTGTATTCAAAAGAGACTTTGATGATGCTGGGCTATAGCTAATTAACAAGCAAAGCCTTTGGAGTTCCCTATATTGGCTAAAGTTTGTCCCTTGTGGGGAGCTCACTGCAGTATTTTCTGGCCATAGGCCTGGGGTTCCCAGCTGGATGAGCCAGCTTTTGACATGCCTGGCTCCTGTCAGGTATGAAACCTGATTTGTAGTAAGTCACGGGCTTCATGTCCACATCGCAATGCCGTTGTAGAGTGGGGCACCACTGGGCTTTGATGGTTAGGGCTTTATTCGAATGTAACATCTCTTGCATCCTGTGCAGGTTGCTCCTCATCTAACTCACCCTTTTTCTGTGCTTTTAAAGGAGAACTTCACTGGGGAATAGATGAGACGGCTGCTCAGCTAGAGAGAGTTTTGAATTTGTATAAGAGTGGAGAGTACCTACAGAACACGACCCGGATGCCCAAAGCTGGTAAAGTGGTCTTTCTCAAAACATAAAATCAGAGACTTCGTCTTTATTTTGAGGTTTAAAAGGGCAAATGTGCAGAAAACGAGGATCAGTGGCCCTTGAAATCATGCACACGATAATCTGTTGTCTGCTTTTTACTTCCTGGGTGCCTTCTGAAGGCCTTCTCACTAAATGACTTAGGTGCGCATCCATAGGTGTGAGCAGGCTGTAATAGGGATAAGGAGTATTGCTCTCCACAGCAGATTTGTGGAAAATGTGTTTCATCATATCCACACACTTCTCTGCTGTTGGAGTATCAGAACCTGCCCAAACGTGAGTTGGGGGGGAATCTAATCAAGATGCTGTAACCTTCCCTGGATTTCCTGGGACTTGCAGGAATTTCTTGCTACATAAGCACTTGTAGATTGGAGGAATAAAGTTTTTGCTTGCTTTGCACGAGAAAAATAAGGGGTCCCTCAGCTGACTTCTAGCAATAGAATTAAAGAGAAGGAAAAAAAAAAGGACAGGATGAAAACGAAGCTGTGTAATAGTAGCTTTTTCATAAGATCTCTGCAGCACCACAGGTATGAAAAATGCTATTCAAGCAGCTATGGTATGGAGGGATGCACGTTCTTCCCGGAAGGATAGCTTGTGGAATTACATACGTTAAAGAAGATTATGTATGATGGAAATGACTGTAAAGTCTAACAACTGAAATAGCTAGTTTGCAAATTATTTTTGTGTATGTACAATATTCATGTCAAACTGTCAACATAATTGACTACGTTGGCACAGGGGGTTTGAAAAGTTCAGTGAAGCATTTGGTCTGTGAAAGAGACACAGGAGCCAAATTCATTCCTGTCGTAGCACTGTTAACCTCAAAGGGCCATGACACCAGGGATGAATTTGACCCACTTATCAGAATAATTCAATATTTATTTTGTTGTAAAATTGGCAGGAAAATTGTTGCAGGTGTTCATTTAACTTTATAATTTTCAGCTTTTCATCACAATCTGTGCTGAGTGATGCCTGTCAACACAGCAAAATTATTTTCAGCAGTACAATCAATAGTACAAACACGTCCTTTGTTGAAGAAGTGCCAGGAGGGCTGAAGTTTTTCTGTGATGCTGGTTGATTCCAGATTTAACTGCTGTATCAGGACAAGAAGTTTTGAATTTTAGAGGGCTGTCATATTTATAAAGAATCTCGGGGAGAGAAGCTTAGGACAGCAGTAGTAAATGTAACAGTGCAGGTTTCTACTAATATGGAGCAGAGCTCCCTGTATATTTGGCTACTGCAATAATTACACATTTTTGTGTTAGTTGAATTCTGTAGAGCCCTCGATAATGTAACACAGAATCTGCTACCCATGTTCACGGTTAGTAATGCCCTTCTGTGCACGTAGCCTTTTTTTATTTTCAGGACACTGCTCATGGACTTAGGCACTCTACAGCATGAACAAAGATGTTGAAAATCCATAGATGCTTTGTGTGACATATTTGGCTAGTCTGCGTTAAAGACTGTGAGTGTAATACTGAATTCTTTGATAGGAAAAAAGTTCTCAACCAATGGCAAGCCTGAGGAATCCGATATCGTAGCGGGAATTATGCTTAGATGAGATGTGTTTTCAGACTTAGCTGCCATGCCTTTTAAGATGTGCAGGCCTGTTTCTTGTTTGTTCTAAGGCTACTTTAACCAAACAGAAAAGGGGTTGTAATTTATTTCTATTTTAAGGTTCCCTTTCCTTGCCAGCAAAGTATGAAGAAGTTATATCGTGAGGGTGAAAATATGCCTACGTACTCATTCGTATCGCTTTTTTTCTGAACACTTCCCTTCCTCAACCAGTGTTTGACTAGTAATACCATGCTACAATTACTTTTTAATATTCTCAGTCCAGAGATTATGGAATTAGAAATTATTAATTAGGAATTATCCAAAGATTATGGAATGGGCAATTCTTCTGAGGTACCGTGAAGTTGCAGGAGAAGGTGACAGTGGTGCTGGAAGGGACCAGCCTCCAGGTGATCAACCTCTTCCCACTGGCAGGACGTTCCCAGGGCATCCTGGCCACCGAAACCAGAGCTGAACAGCTCAGCAAGTCAGATATTTTGTGTAACTCTTGGTGGGTGGTGGAGAAGGAGACGGGTAAAAAGAGACAACTGCGATACTTTCCCAAGATGTCAGCTGAGGTCATGTGTTCCTCCTGTTTGGGGTCTAGGAGGACACCATGTTACTCTGAAAGCAAAGAAAACATATTTTTAAGATTGTGGGATTTTTTAAAACGTTTTCTGCCTTGCCTTACAGCATAATGAAAGTTCAAAGAGAGTGTTTTCCAATTTAGTGCTAGGTTGAGTTAAAACTAGGGATGATGGTTTGGTTCTCAGGCCAGACTGGAGTTAATCAGAGCTTTGCATTCCTACACTGGTGTGCCAAGATCGGGCAGGCACAAGTTTGCATCAGTTTTGCTCTAGATTATGGAAATCTCACAAGGTGACTTGGCTCCCAAGATTTTTGCGAACAGTAGAAGTGACAAGAATTAATGATATCAGTCTCCTCTGGCATCTAAATGGTTGTGACAAAAGAAGGCCTTTCTGGTGTATGAACTTTTTTGAAATCTTAGAAGCATAACTGGAGATTTCAAATCCAAGAACTGCAAGATTTTTGTGTTCAGTGTTTTTTTTTTTTTTTTTTTTTTTTGGTCTTTTATGTAGACCCAAACTGCAGTTAAGCCCAGCTAATGTTTTTGGTAGCTTTGGGCTCCCGTAGGTCTAAATGCTTTGAATTACCCACTGTCTTGGATAGAGCATTGTAAATTCATACCAGGAAAGAAGAGATCGTGATCTTGGGCAAGTGATCTAAGGCCGTAACTAGAACATAAACTTTGAGGAAACAGTCTGTTATCTGTCTGAACCTATGTTTTTGAAAGGAAGACCTCCTCCTATGAACACCATGAAGTGAGAAAGGTGATGTTGATAATCAGTAGGGAAGTGACGGGAAGTGACACGAAGAAAGGTCTTGTCAACCCTAGTGTTCCCATAAATAAAGTTTAACAAGATGACATAGTTATATTACAGGAGGTCTTGGATATTAAGCTTTCACTGTGCTTCAGTTGTAAAAGATTTTATAGTGCTGTAAATTATATTATGCTCTGGACTTTGCTTTAGTATCTTAGAAACAGAGTAGAGGCGTGGGACACATTCGATAGCTATGTATGTGTTCTGTAATCATAAATCACACTACTGTTAATGCTGATATAGGAACATTACAGTGTTTAAAACGACACAATGAACAAATACTTTTATATTCCATTGCCTGTTGGTCTCTTGCTGGAATCCAGAAGAATGTGAGTTAAAACAGGAACCATGTACTACTTCTGACATGTTATCTAAAAATGATTAAATCATTCCATTAGTTATCCAGATTAAGACAACTATAAAAAAACCCTGCTGATGTTCGTCAGTAAAATCCTGCCCCAGTATCAACATTTTTATTACTTTAACCAAATGACACTCATTTGTACCAAGTGGGTGTTTGGCCCTTGAGCTAAGCCCCAGCCTTTCAGTTAACTCTGAATTTACTCAGAAATGCGTGAAATCAGCTAACACTAGTAAATCCGATAGCTTTGTTATTCATTAAAGCTAATAGATGACCCATTATTAGGCATGAGGGTGTGCAAGCCCACAGAAAGGCATAATTAGCTGCTGCTCTTAGTTGAAAGGACATTCTAAATATTAAAAAAGCTGGAAGGCTGGACATAAAGCAAAGACACTTCATGTTTTCTTTTGTCTTAAGACAATTTGGCAGGATTATGCTGTATGTAAACATTTACAGTACAACAGTGTTTTGAAAAAATATTCTGCAGGGTCACTATAGCAACCTGCTTAGGAAATTGTAAATCCATCCAAGAATTATTGAAATCAGGGATGTGTTTGTGCACATGTGTGTGTGCGAGAGATATTTTGCAAGGTTGCTTGAATATTGTTTCAGGCAGTTTGTATATCCTGCGGCAGGCCACAACGCTAAGGCAAGAAGTACTCTGCAGGCGCTTGAGGGCTTGGCCGGGAACACACTGCAGCCCACTCCCTGCAGCCCAGATTCCAGCTTTATCTGTCACTGGGGCGTCTGGAGTTTCTTTCCCAGGGACGCCGAGGCTGCTTGCTGGCCAGCTGAGGGGAAAAGGCGCTTGGGGCTGCAAGCACTGGCAGAAGGTCTCCCTGTGCACCCTGCCTTGCACAGGGGGCTTTTGCATCAGCAGCCAGGCAATCCTGGCACGCAGAGGAATGCAGGAGCAGGTTCCTTTGCACCCATACGGCACTGGAAATACGGTGGGGCTGTATAGCTGTGTAGTGACCAGATGGTTGTTGCTGACACGTATCTCTACCAGCGTGCAAACTATATGCCCTATTCACTGAGCAAAGTCATAGAATCAGAATAGTTTTGGCGGGAAGGGACATTTAAAGGCCATCTGGTCCAACCCCCCTGCAATAAGTAGGGACATCTTCAACTAGATCAGGTTGCTCAGAGCCCCGTCCAACCTGACCTTGAATGTTCCCAGGGATGGGGGATCTACCACTTCTCTGGACAACCTGCGCCAGTGTTTCACCACCCTCGTTGTAAAAAATTTCTTCCTTATACCCAGTCTAAATCTACCCTCCTTTAGTTGAAACCCTCTTTTAGTTGAAACCCACTACTCTTTGTCCTGTCACATCAGGCCCTGCTAAAAAGTCCATCCTCATCTTTCCTCTAGGCCCCCTGTAAGTACTGAGAGGCTGCAATAAGGTCTCCCCAGAGCCTTTTCTTCAGGCTGAGATCAAACTGAATAGCCCCAGCTCTCTCAGCCTTTCCTCGTAGGAGAGGTGCTCCATCCCTCGGATCATCTTCCTGGCATCGTCTGGCCCCGCTCCAACAGGTCCATGCCTTTCCTGTGCTGAGGGCTCCAGAGCTGGATACAGGACTCCAGGTGGGGTCTGACCAGAGTGGAGCAGAGGGGCAGAATCACCTCTCTCGCCCTGCTGGCCACACTA